TGGGCCGGGGGGGGGTTGGGCCCTGATGGGGCAGGGTGTCTGCACTGTCCTCTCCACCTGTACAGGATGATCTACAAGTGCGCCATGTGTGACACAGTCTTCACTCACAAGCCCCTCCTCTCCTCACACTTCGACCAGCACTTGCTGCCCCAGCGCGTCAGTGTCTTCAAATGCCCATCTTGTCCTCTGCTTTTTGCCCAAAAAAGGACCATGCTGGATCATCTCAAGGTATAGGAGTCAAGGATTGGAGGGGGGGTGCTCAGCTGTGTTGACCTGGTGCAGGGGTCACATAACTTTCAGGAAGTGGGGGCAGGGGAGAGCCAGGCCTCCCCCAACAACAGCCATCCCACTTGTTTCTCCGTCACAGAACACCCATCAGTCTAGTTGCTTGGGAGAGGAGACTGCTGGGAAAGGGGCTGGGGATGCCCTTCTGACCCCCAAAGCTGAGCCGGAGGAGCTGGCTGTGTCTCAGGGAGGAGCACCTCCCCCTCTGGAGGAATCATCTTCATCCTCAGAAGAGGAGGACCTACCCAGCTCCCCAGAGCCCCCTCGTCCAACCAAACGGCCCCGGCGGGACCTAGGGAGCAAAGGCACCAAGGGTGGGGGCGGGGGCCCTGGAGGCTGGACCTGTGGCCTTTGTCACTCCTGGTTCCCGGAGCGTGATGAGTATGTGGCTCACATGAAGAAGGAGCATGGCAAGGTGAACAAGATGGGCTGGAGGGGCAGCCTTGGGATTGTCCTGTGTGGCAGTGGGGCTGGGTCTTGGAGGCCTAGCTCTGAGATTTCCCGCCCGTTGCTCTCCTAGTCAGTGAAAAAGTTCCCCTGTCGCCTGTGTGAGCGATCCTTCTGTTCGGCCCCCAGCCTGAGGCGCCACGTCAGGGTCAATCATGAGGGTATCAAGAGAGTTTACCCATGCAGGTAACCCTTTCTCTCTTACCCCATCCTTTCTGCCCAGCAGGTGACCCCCCTCATTCCCTACCCCCGATCCCCACCAAGTGGATTGAGATTGAAGCCTCCCTCTGCTCTGGTAGCCCTCCTCTCAAGCCACTGGCCTTGGTCTTTGGACTGTGCCCCAGGCCCACCCCACTCACTCTGCCCCCAGGTATTGCACAGAGGGAAAACGGACCTTCAGCAGCCGCCTGATCCTGGAGAAGCACGTCCAGGTCCGGCACGGTTTGCCGCTCGGGGACCAGTCTCCTGGCCGGGGGAGTATTGTGGTTCGGGGCCCCGGTGCCAGAGCCCAGGTAGGCAGAGGCCCACCCTGCTGGGTTAGAGTCGTGGGGACCTGCAGTTATAGACTGGCCTCCGGAAGCTGGGTGGGGGTGCCAGGGTCAGTGGGGTGATGGGGAGGCCCAGTTTCTTCATTATCTTCTCCAGGGGCCAGGACGGAAACGTCGCCAGTCCTCTGACTCTTGCAGTGAGGAGCCTGACAGCACAACACCTCCAGCCAAGGCCCCCAGGGGTGGACCCGGGTCGGGAGGCCCCCTGCGCTACCGGAGCAGTGGCTCAGTGGAGCAGACCCTCATGTTGGGGTTGAGGGTGGATGGTGGGACCCAGCAGTGCCTCGACTGTGGCTTATGCTTTGCCTCCCCTGGCTCCCTGAGCCGGCATCGCTTCATCAGCCACAAAAAGAAACGGGGTGTGGGCAGTGCCAGTGCCCTGGGCATGGGAGATGGGGAGGAAGAGGCGCCCCCTTCACTGAGGTCTGACCTAGAAGGTGGAGATTCACCCTTGCCTGTTTCTGGAGGCCCACTGACCTGTAAGGTCTGTGGCAAGAGCTGTGACAGTCCTCTCAACCTCAAGACCCATTTCCGCACACATGGCATGGCATTCATCAGGGCTCGGCAAGGGGGCAGTGGGGACAACTAGGCCCCAGACCTGGACTGACTGGCCCCCTCCCTCTTCCCCAGGAGCCTGGGTCACTGCTGCTGCCTGGTCTCCAGGCTGGGGAGTTTCATTATAATTCATTTTGTTCAACTCCTCTCTTCCTAACCCCCGGAGATAACAAACTTGAGCATTATAGTTTTTTGCAGTCCCCACTTTGAGTTTGGCTCTTGGGTCCTAGTAGAGGGGACCCACCATTCTTCCTCTTAGCCCAACACTAATTGTGCTCCTGCTGCAGACCCTGTGGGACTGGGGGTGGGAGAATGGGACTTTCTTAGGCCTGCTAGACAGGTCCAAGGAAAGACCAGTGCCGGGGCAGTCAGGACACACTCCACAACCCCTGCAGGCAGGCTTTAGGCCTGGCCATGCCCTAGTACCACCCCTTAGACTCCCTGGCACTCAAACCCCCACCCCTACAGTGCCTTTCACTTGTCTTTTTTTCCCCCCCTCCCAGAAATCCAGGGGGGTTGGTAGGGACGAGTCCTGTCAAGGGGGGCCCAGAGAGAGGAGGGGACAGGCTCTCAGGAATCCTTTATTCTTGTAGTAATAATACTAACAGTGGGGGGAATGTGAAGGAGAGAACCAGACCATTAAAACTGCTTGTGGTTTAATCCCCACTCAGGCTCTTTTTTATGATTTCAGCAAGGTGGGCTCGATGGAGGGGCTGAGAATCGAACGGCGGCCTTGCTCTGGGAAGGTGGTACTGACGCAGACGGGTGGGGAAAAAGTAGGCTTCCCCCACCTTGTTCTGTGTGTACATCTGTTCCCTCCTTAGCACTCACCCCCACCCCTCAAAAAATAGGACTAGAAATGACACAGATGGCTAACTAAGGACTTTATTTCAAACAAAAATTTAAAAATTGAGCTATTTCCCTGGGTGTGGGGAAGGGATCAGGGCAAGGAGTTCCCTGTGGCTAGGCCAATACCCTCGCGTGTTGGAGGGGTTGTGGTAACCCTTCCTGGCCCGTGACGGGGAACCTCAGCAAGTGCAGGACCCTATGCCAGGGCCCATCTACCAAGGAGAACTCGGCTAGGAGTCAGTCCCTGGAAGGGAACAGTCAGGCAGCAGCATGGCCAAAGGCAAACCACAGGATCAAGTCGTAAGTACCAAGTACCCACTCTTCCCCCCCCTTTTCCTGGGACCCAGAACAGATTAAGAAGATGGCCTGTGGAAAGAACCTCTCGGACCCTGGCGAGAAGAAAGGCCCAGTCTCCTCACATTTGTCACCTCTCTTCTCTGGGGGGCAGTGAGTCCGGAATCTTTCAGGTGGTAATACTGACACCGCTGGGGGAAGGAGGGCAGGGAAGCCCCAGCAAGTCTGGACCCCACAGCTGGCTCTCCCCCTGGCAAGCTCTACAGTCACCACATGATCCTTTGTATTTCTTGCCTTCCATTTCCT